TCCTTCTCTTTGTCATTTTGTACACCACTGTCTTCTGACCTTTGGTATAGAGCTTAGATAGTTTTTACCTTAGCATCAGGTCCGGATCTATGAAGTTCAGATTCCTCCAGGTGGGTGTTGTTTGGATCTGGCTGCTGTGCTCCACTTCTTTCCGCTGCAGGCCTTAGAGTTGAACCCTTTGTGTCTCTCTGGCAAGATGTTCTCTCCTGAATCATCTGGGTGGGTCTTGCCTCTAGCCTCTTTGCAGGGAGTTCTGCTGAAGGGTTCCCTGCTGGGCCTGCAGCCTGGGTCGAATAAGGATCCCCAGGCCGGGTCGTCTCACTCACTCACAGGGTCTGCTCTCTGGGTCTATTCAGGATCCAGAGGGCCCCAGGTCGTCTCACTCACTCGCCCGGCCTGTGTGCTGGGTCTGTTCAGGATCCGGAGGGCCCCGATCATCTCACTCACTGGCCCGGCTTGTGCTCTGGGTCTGTTCAGGATCGGGAGGGCCCCGGTCCTCTCACTCACTCTCCGGGCCTGCACTCTGGGTCTGTTCAGGATCCGGAGGGCCCCGGTCGTCTCACTCACTGGCTGGGCCTGCGCTCTCGGTTTTTTCTGTTTTGTTTTGCATTTTTAGTTGACTCCTGAGTTCTTTTGGTATGACCCAAGTAGTGTTTGACAGATTCCTTATTTACAGCTCTGATAGATATTTGAGCTCATCTTGTACGTTTCATGCTCTAGACTTGGAATTATCCATTTCTCCAATATTTGCATTAGCTTTCAATGGCAGATGGTATTTGCAAATCGCATGGTTGTTACTAGGAATGTTCTCTTTTGTATAAACCTGAGCATTCTGAAGAATAAAATTTTAACATGGTTAAAATTTGAGCATGTTGCAATGTGCTGTTTAGCAAAAACTTCTGGAGTGGTTTCTGTTTATTTTATTTTATTTTATTTATTTTTTTATGGAGAAATATGTTTTATTTTTAGATCATTTACAACAGTGGTTTCTGTTTATTATTCACAAAGTATTTTCTACCATTTGCCACATACTTTTTTGTACTGAAATACAACATTGAAAGGTATATATAAGAGGGGCCTGAGAAATAGCTCAGTAGAATAAATGCTTGCCTGGCACACAAGGGCCTGGGTTCAATCCCTGGTTCTGAAAAAAAAAAAAAAAAAAAAAAAAAAAAAAAAAAAAAAAAAAAAAAAAAAAAAAAAAAAAAAAAAAAAAAAAAAAAAAAGATATATAAGCACTATGTCATCATAGGAGCTAATAGTTTAGTTAACCCAGACTTCTTATAACTGCTGTTGATGACCTTGAGCAATAACTTACATTTTGAGGTTTTCCTCATTTATTGGTTTACAAAATTCTGCTAAGTGGTCTATAGTATCTTCATTTGAAAAGCTTAATAATTTTGTTTTCTGCTTATTACTTACTAGCTGTTTGTGGTATCCTTCACTCTGTTTTTCCTTATCCTTTTATAGAAATGACAGAAGAAGAACAGTTTGCCTTGGCTCTCGAAATGAGTGAGCAAGAAGCTAGGGAGTTGAACAGCCAAGAAGAGAAAGAAGAGGAGCTCTTGAGGAAAGCCATCGCTGAAAGCCTGAATGTAAATATATTATGTTGAAACAAATTGTGAGTTTTATTAGCAGTGATCTTTGGTTTCTACAGTGTTATAGTTGCATTAGGAACTAGTCACAGTAGTTTATAGTTTCAGTTAACAAATATTTACGATGATAATTTCTAAAGTCTGTGTTGAATTATTGGCAAACCTAGTTTGAAGTTTAATATGAGTTTTCTTCTACCCCACTGATATTTTCAGTACATAAATTAAAAGAACCATAGTAAGTTGACTGCTTGTGAAAAGAGTTACAGAGTACCAAGCATCCTAAAGGAAGCAAGAATGCTTGCTTACCTCCTTTTTTATGGAGGAGAGCAAAGGGAATGAGAACAACAATGGGCAGCTTTAAAAATAATCAAATAGTGTTCAATTGTGATTTGAATATGTAGAATTGAAATTATTTTAAATGTTAAGGATACTAATAAATGCAGGTTCTGAGCCATTTTGATTCTTTTTTTATTTTTGATATGCTCAGGCTGGGGTTGATCTTGTGGGTTTAAACAGTGCAGTCTGAGCCATCCTTTATGCTATTCGTCTCTTTACCAAAAAAGGGTGTAGTATACTGATCTAGTACAGCATTCTGCACATAAATATTCAGTACATGTTGTGGAATTTACTTGAATTGCATGTCTTCATTTTCAAGAGGAAAAGCTCCTAGGGACAGTGGCCTCCCATTTTTGTTCTTCCTGTAACTTCATATGTAGCTATTTTAACAATAAACCTGGTCTGGTGTGGGATCACTTGTTTCAGAGTTGCCGGCCTTCTGATGCTTCTGCTACCAGAACTCGACCTCTGGCCATTGGACCATCATCACAGTCCCACCAAGGGAAAACCACAGACTCTGAGACCACTGAAGGCATGTCTCCCTGTTGTGACTTCTTCCATTCATCAAGTATAACCGTATCATAGCAATCTCATGCTGAGAGTAGATATACAGAAATACCCCAGATCCCTTCAGTGATATTAAAGAAGTTAAAACAGAAAATAGTTGAAATCTCATAATATCCAACATACTTTTATCTCCAAGGAAAAACCAACCTTAGGGTAGACCCAAAGAACAGCCTGTCTTAGGCACGTTTTATAATTCTTGGTAAATGATAGCTTACCAAACCCTCTTAATAAAAAAGTTTGTCCTTAGCCCTACTTTTTCTCAAATATCTACAGGCATATGGCAGCTGGTACCTCCATCACTGTTTAAAGGCTCACATGTCAGTCAGGGAAACGAGGCTGAGGAAAGAGAGGATCCTTGTGACCACACTGAAAACACTGAAGAGGAGCCGGTCTCTGGCAGCTCAGGAAGCTGGGACCAGTCAAACCAGCCAGTGTCTGAGAATGAGAACGTTAAATGTTTTGACAGATATACTGACCACTTGGCTGAGCACACACAGTGTGAGAAGCCACAGGAAAGTACTGGGAGGGGTTACGCTATTCTCCAGGCTGCCCAGGGTAGGGGGGACACATCTAGGCACCGTCTGCCTATCCCAACAGAAGTGAAAGGTCTCCAGGACATTGGAGACACTGTGCATTACTTCTGGGGTATTCCATTCTGCCCTATTGGAGTAGACCCTAACCAGTATACCAAGGTCATTCTCTGTCAGCTGGAGGTTTATCAAAAGAGCCTAAAAATGGCTCAGAGGCAGCTCTTTAAAAAAAGGGGGTTTGGGGAACCAGTGTTACCTGGCCCCCCTTCTCTGATCCAGAATGAATGTGCCCAAGGAGATCAGGCTAGTGAAAAAAATGAAGGCATCTCAGAAGATATGGGAGATGAAGACAAAGAGGAGAGGCAGGAATCTAGGGCATCTGTCTGGCACTCAAAAACCAAGGATATCCAAGAAAACAAAATTAAAAGCTTGAAACAGAACATTTTGTTGGAGGAAGAACCAACAACCAGTCATGGTCAGGTAAGGGTCAGTGATGTTATAATTAAGGATGGTTTATTCACAGATTAAACAAGGATTATTTTAGCAGTTTGTTCTTTTTGTGGAAATGAGGGAAGTACAGATTATAAAAATACCTATAAAACCAACATCTAGTGGCAGAAAGTATTATTTCTATGCATATATAAGTACTTTTAAAAATATACTTTCTAAAAATTTTTCAACGAAACAAAGACTCTGGTACAAACTGTTTCTTTCTCCCTTTCAACTTTATCCTAGGACTTTTGCTGTTTATAAGTGTGCTTGCAAATATTCTATCACATGCATATATCATAATTATTTTTTTGGTCTTTATAATTTTTACTTCTAAAAAGTTTAAGTTGTTGAATACTAATGTTTGTGTGATTCAGAATTTAACAAAATGTAAATTTTAAAAATCTGTCCCCTATCTATACCCTCCAGCCAAGTGTATCCTTTGTACTCAAACTGTGTTACTAGTTTCCAGGGTATTCTTAGATATTTTATACAGTGCAAGCAATATTGTAGTTACTCAGATGATAGCATATTATGCCCATTATTTTGCCCTTTTCTTTTTCTATAAGATCATTCCACAATAGAACATAGTTTCTTAAACTTTTTGATGTGGAATGTAGAATATATGGATGAATCATAATTTATCAAGTGGCCAGTTGGTGAAGGTGTAGGTTATTTCTAATAGTTTTCTGTTATAAACAGTACTGCAATTATTGCTCTTGAATAGAGGACATTTCATTCATATTGGAGATCTTTGTAGGGTAATTTCATATAAAAAGTTATTTCCTTTTCTGTTTAGATATTGTGATCCTCCCTCCTCCTCTTCCACTTCTTTTCCTCATAAACATCCTTTATATATTTAAGGGGAAGTAGTCCTTTTTTTTTTTTTTGGTGGATCTGGGGATTGAACTCAGGCCCTTGCACTTGCCAGGCAAGCACTTATTCTACTGAGTCATTTCCCCAGCCCCATTTCTTTGTGATAAGAAGTACAGGTAGTTTTCCACTTTAACTGCCCCCTCATATCCATTGATGGTATATTTCTGTTTTGCTTACTGTAGTTTTCTCTAGTTTACTGACTAGTCTCCATTTGGGGATTTTTAGGTTGCTTTTCAGTCTCTTTTCTGACATAGTGAGATTCTATTGTATATGAAAACTTGTATTTTTTAACTCTTTCAGTATTATGAAAGCAATCATATAATCACAAACTCATTATAATTTTGGCAGTTTTGTATTCTGTGGTTAATTTTTTATTGCTGTTTCTCTGTTAGACTTTTTAATTTCACTGTTATTTGTTCATTTTCTTGTATTACGATGAACAGTTAAGAAATGGTAGCATTTGAGTTCAAGGCCAGCCTGCAGTACAAAGTGAGATCTTAAAAAAAAGGGAGACTTTTTATACTAAAGAAACCAGTATCTCATGTATTCTAAAACAGGATAGGAAGGACACATCTAGGCACTGTCTGCCTATCCCAACAGAAGCAGAAGGTCTCCAGGACTTTGGAGACACTGTGCATTACTTCTGGGGTATTCCATTCTGTCTTGCTGGAGTAGACTCTAACCAGCATACCAAGGTCATTCTCTTGTCAGTTGGAGGTTTATCCACAGTCTGAACATCCCAGTGATGTCAGTGTTATATTCTTCATCTTTTATTCATTTATTTTTGGTATGGCTTAGATCATGTCAGTGTGTTGCTAGGGTATTTTCTTATTTTTTTCTCTTGTGCTGGGTGTGCTCTTATGTATGTTGGACAAGTGGTTTGCCACTGAACTATGTCCCCAGCCTTCATATTGGTATATTACTATAGTTTCAACTTAACATTATGTAATCATTTTATTATGTTAAAATTATCTATAGATCTCACTTCTAATAACTTTCTGGTTTATGATTTATAAGATTAATGCACATAAGATATATATATATAATTTATGTGTAATTTTTCTGGTACTGGGGATTGAACCCAGAGCTTTCATATTGAACTATTATTACTTTTTATCTTGAAACAGGGTCTTGCTGAGTTGCCCCATCTGGGTTCAAACTTGCAGGTTTTTTTGCCTCAGCTATAGCATTGAATAAATATTTTCCATTGCTGTTTTTTTTTTGTTGTTGTGATAAACATCTCTATACCTGAAATTTCTTTATTCAAAATCAGTGTCCTTATGAAAAGTAAATGGTTAGAGTTATAAACATATAGACATATTATCTATTGTTAAGTTGCTTTTCACGAAGATTTTACAGTGTATGAGAATGCGTGTTTCATCACAGCCTTGCCAACACAGTAGTGCCTTTCAAAAACAAGAGAAGCTTACCTATGTTATAGGCAAATGATGAAGATCTTATGGTTGTGATGTTGCCTCTCATATTGATTTTTTGCTTTCAGGAACTGTGAGTAGGAGAATTTATGTGTTTGTTAAACATTTTCTGTTTTATTAAAAAAACAAACAAACCCAGACATTTTCATGGCTTTTCTGGAACTGCCCACATTTGAGACTCCTTCACTGACACAGATAGCAAGAAAGTTACGGAAATTAGAATTCAGAAAAACAGGCTGGGGAGATGGTTCAGTGGAATAAGCACTTCCCTGGCAAGTGCAAGGGCCTGAGTTCAATCCCCGGTTCCACCAAAAAAAAAGTACACTGAGTATCAGCTGGTGGGGCTGATGAGATGGCTCAGTGGTCTAAAGCACCTACTTAGAACAAGCTTGGCAAAGCACAGGGACCGCGGTTCAATCCCCCAGCACCACATGCCAGACAGCCCCGCCCCTTGGTGGGCTGAGCTGGACACACACACACACAAATAAAAATAAAATTAAATTAAATTAAAAAAAAAGAATTCAGAAAAACATTCACCTTGGATCAGATTAATGTGTACTAGGTTATTAAAACTTGAGGATCAGATGGTATCTGTTTTCTGGCATCTCTGAGACAAGGAAAGTTGTTAATAAAGGCCAAGAGATCATTTTGATGGCGTTATGGTCAGGAGGTGTTGATGTGCTCATTTACTTTTCAGTCTGGTCATTAATTTTTCAGTGAAGAAACTGAAACTTGTTTGTGAGAAGTGACAGACTCTGGAAATTTGGAATTTATTTTTTATTACCCAAATATCAAGCTGAATATAAATATATATATTTATATTCACTGAGAAATTTCAGTGACCAGAATACACAAATCCACTGAAGAGTATTTCTTACTCTAGGAGGAATATAGCTGGAAAGCTGAAATAGTAATCAGAAAGTGGAAACTTTTAGTGGAGTTTGACTAGTCTGTAAAAAGCCCTGATAAGCTACCACTGCCCCGCAATGGAGGCCATTTTGTAATGACCAATGATGGTTTATTCACTTTCTAGGCAACTGTGCTGAAGACACTACTTGAACCTGGAGCTTTAGAGTTTTCCTTTTTAGATTCAGTGCAAACCATCCCTTTTCCATGAACATACTTCTTCAGGCAGAATGCAGTGTCTTGATTAGGCTACCACTTCCTTAAAAGTTTTCCTTTTTTTTTTTTTTTTTTTTTTTTTTTTTTTTTTTTTTTAGGGGTTTTTTTTTTTTTTTTTTTTTTAATGTATTTTGTACAGGGTCTTACTATGCAGCTCAGGCTCATAGTGATCCTCCTGTTTTCAGCCTCCCCAGCACTGGGATTTCAGGTGTGCGTGCCATCATGCCTGGGTTTGGTGGCCAGCTCAGCATGGCAAGCTCAGCGCACCCGGGGGAGGGGCTGGCATGGTGTGTGGTACCAGGGATCAAACGCCGGACCCTATGCCTGCCTAAGTAGGTACTTAGTCTGCTGAGCTACCTTGCCAGCCCCTTTCCTGTTTATTTTATTTAGGTAGTCTAGTCAAATTTTGTTTGCATGTTTTGCCATCTTGTTTTTGTATTATTGAAGATCCTTTACTCCTAAAAATAAAATTATCATTGAGGCATGAATTTAGAAAATTAAATAGTTTAATGAAATGAAGACATTCTTGGGATTCCTTATTGAAATGGTTGGTAAAAGGATCATTTATGAAAACAACAGTAGTGGTTGGAGGATGGATTTGGGAATCAGATAGTTTCCAGTTTCACTTTTGATCACTTAGGTGATTTTGTTTTCTCTTTCTTTCTTTTTTTTTTTTTTTTTTTGGTACCGGGGATCGAACTAAGGACCTTGCACTTGCAAGGCAGGCACTTATGACTTAGGTGATTTTGGTAAAATTATTTAACCTCTTAAAGTTGCATTTTGTTATTTCTAAAGGAATATGGTGGGGGGCCGGGGAGATGGCTCAGTGGAGTAAGCCCTTCCCTGGCAGGTGCAAGGACCTGAGTTCAATCCCCGGTTCCACAAAAAAAAAAAAAAAAAAAAAAGAAGAAGAAGAAGAAGAATATGGTGGAATATGGTGGGTTTTTTGGTTTTTTGGTTTTTTGTTTTTTTTTTTTTTGCCTCTTAAGGTTCTTATGAAGCTAAAGGAGATAATGTATGTAAAATGATTTGCATAGGCCTAGCACTTAATAGGTACACAATAATTATTGAACAACTATCCTGGGAAAGTTTGAGATATACTTTAATTAACCTAAGGTACAAATGGAGATGTCCTTATGCTATTAATGCTTTAATTACTTTTGAAGTCTGTCAACAAAATTCTGTTAAATGAACACTAGGTGTCAGTGTTTACGTCTTCTGAGATTTTAAAAATTCACTGCAGAGTTCAGAGTACTGTGAAGTATTTATTTGCGATTGTATTTTAGTCCTGACAGTTTTGCTTATTTTTCCTGATGACCACATTCCTGCTCATTGCACTTTACCTACCTTTCAGTAGAAGACTCAGTTCACTCCCCCCCCCTTTAAATATCTCTCATCATTTATCTGAGTGTTAGAAAAATGATTGCTTGTTTAGAGTTTTTAATACCTTATTGAGAAATCCCAAAAACTTTGACTGGTAGCTTTAAATTTATTGGAAGAAGGTTCACAGCCAAGGCACTTTCTCAGAACTCAACTTTTAAGGTAACTAGCTGCTTTTACATGCATGCTTTTCTCTGCATCTATATTTAATGAGTTGACATTTGTACTAACTCTACCGTGAATCAATGGGAATGATCCTTATTGTTGCATTTCTCTTTTCTTTTTTTTTTATGTCCCTCCTTTTTTGGCCTCTCTCCCTCCTTTACTTCCTTCTTACCTTCCTTTCTTTTTTTGAGACAGAGTTTCAATATGAAGTTAAGGCTGGCCTTGAACTTACTAAGTAGCACAGGCTAGCCTAGAAATTATGATCCTCTTGCCTTAGCCTTCTGAATGCTAGGATTATAGACATGTACCCAGATATCTGCATTTCTTAAAAGGTATTGTTGTGGCCAGGTTGAAGAACTACAGTGGAAGATTTGTAGCAAAAAGAATCTTTATAACTTTCCTTTTGGGATGTCCTGTGTTGTATCTTGCATATCCTCAGAAAGATTTCTTTCATGGACAGAAATGTTTTTCCCAGCCCTGTATTTCTATTGAAAACTGGGAGGCCGACCTGATAGCTCAGTGGACTAAAGCGCCTGTTTAGGTAGAGTGCAGTGGCTGGGGTTTGATTCCTGACAACACTGTACCAGCCCTGCCACTGGTGATTGAGACTGGGCGTGGTGGTGCACGCCTGTAATTCCAGAACTTGGGGAGGCTGAAAACAGGAGAATCACTACAAGTCTGATCTGCGTAGTGAGACCCTGTAGACCCTGTTCTAAATACAGAGAAAAAAAAAAAGAAAAAGAAAACTGGCCTCTACATTTTCTCCTTCTACAAAGAAGCTTTAGAATTGCTTTTCTGAAATGATACTTCATTTGACCAATTAATACTGATACAGTTCTTGCAAAGTGCATTGCATATATTATCTTGTTTAATTCTCACAGTAATATTCTGTGAGGCACTTCAATACTTACGTTAAGAAGAGATTCAAGTCTGACTTTACACAAAATTACAAAGTTAGTAGATGATTTAGATCTTTTTAGGGCTAGGGAGATAGCACAGTGGTTTAAGTGCTTGCCTGGCAAGCCTACGGACCTGTGTTTGATCCTTGGTACTACATGTTCGTGCCATTCTGGCCCCTAAACCTGGGGTGGTGGCACACGCCTATAATACCAGTGCTCGTAGAGGCTTGAGACTCTATAAGTCCAAGCTGCATGGCAAGACCCTCTATCAAATATTAAAGGGAAAAAAATAGATCTGTTTAAACCAGTTTCTCTGACTCCGCAGGACATATTTTTACTGAAACCTAAAGGCTCATGGAAAATATATATTCATATAATTGCTAAGCAATGACACTGAACAACTAATATTCTTTTCAAGGAAGAGAAGCTAATTCATTTGTGCCTGCATGTTTAAGATGTTACATATTTCTTTACAGTCTTCCCAAGGTGTGTTTGTTGAAGAAACTTCTGAAGAAGGCAACTCTATGCCTGGTTCACAAAGGTGAGATTATATGTTGCTGTGGGTCTTAATTCTCCTCTAATGGTACCAACATAAAGAGGAAGAAACTACATGGGTGAAACTTTGCCCAGACATCTTTCCAAAGAACTGGTGCCCAGTTCTTACCAAAGAACTTTTAGGTCTTTTATAAGCACAGACTGGGAGAAATCATTATTATCTCAAGTTCTTAAATATGCATATTATAGAAACCTACAATATGAGGCCTGAAGAGATCGTAGGGGTTCTCTTGTCTTTCTTGTCACCTTGGTGTCTGATACACTTTATTCCTGCGACGTGATCATTTCTGGCTATTCTTTTAGTTACACTAACTTCCTATGCCAATATGCTATTTCTTTTATTGTCCTTTTCTTCCTTTACATTTTCTCTCTTTATGGTCTCTCTCTTTTTTTTTTTTTTTTTTTTTTTTCAGCTCATTTTGGGATGTAATTACTGCTGCATGATTGGTGTTGTTGTTTTTTTTTTTTTTTTTTTTTTGAGATACTGGGGATTGAACTCTGGAGCTTGTGCTTGTCAGGCAGGCGCTTATGCCGCTGAGCTCTATCCCCAGCCCCTATGCTTTCTGCTTATGCTTGTTTCATATGTGTTTCCAAGCCTTATAAACCTTTTAGTCTACTTTCAAGACCTACATTTTATTATTTTTTTTTATTTTTTATTTTTTATTTATTTGAGAGAGAGAGAGAGAGAGTGTGGTGTGTGTGTGTGGCCAGCTCAGCCCACCAGGGGGCGGGGCTGGCTGGCATGTGGTGCTGGGGGATTGAACCGCGGTCCCTGATGCTTTGCCAAGCTAGTTCCAAGTAGGTACTTTAGACCACTGAGCCATCTCTCCAGCCCCAAGACCTACATTTTCTTTGAAGCCTTGATATTATTCAGGCCACACAGATCTCTGTGATTCTCACTCCTTGTCTCTTGCCATTTTTAATCTATTGGTACCTCATCTTTTCTATAAGTGGTTATACTTGCATTACTTCCTATATTATTCTTGCTGATTTGTTTATGAGGTTATCTTCTCAGTCTTCGTCTGTGATAATAGATGGTGGTTGATTTTCAACTGCACAAAGGTTTCCAGTTACTTTATTTAATAGTTTTGAGAGTTTCACAAGAGCTTAATTTTGCTTTGGGTGACTGTCATCTCCCACATGGAAGCTGAGGCCCAGTTGCCATTTGCTATAATTTAAACGATGTTCTTTCTTAGGCTTTTGGTAAATACTACTAGGTATTTCTTCGTGGGCTGAAGAATATGGCTTTGATTCTCTTGCTGTTAACAACAGCTTGAAAAAGTTTCTGGAGTGGACTTTCTCCTTCCAGAAAGTCTACAGACGTCTGTAGACTTTCTATTATGGTGAGTCTGTGCAGAGCAAGCAGCTGTAGGTTTCAATAGATGATTATATGCTTTGTCACCAGGAGAAAGCTGAATTTGCAGGCAATGTGGTTTGACTTCAGATTGATTAGCTCATTTTATAAATGTCAGGAAATTGTTTTTTGATGGGCACTTTGAATAGAGTCCTAATGTTACATGTAGAATAAACTATGTTTGGCTTGGGTTTATAACAAATGCTATGAGATATTTATATAGAAAGAGAAATCACTTGTGGCTTTCTGTCAAGATTTAGTTATTTATGAGTCAGTAATGGTTATTCTCTCTCCTCTAGTTCTTCGTTAATATGAGGATTTGTATTTTTTAAGTGTCTTCTTGCATACTTGATCAAAGTTGTGAAGCATGAGAGGGCTAGTTTACATGCTCAGATCTCTTAGCCATGTATTCCTGTGTCAGGAATAATATACCGTCATCTGTGAATAGGAATGTATAATTGAAAAATGGGTGAGGGTAGCCATTCATAATGAAGCTTTCCTCAGAAGAGGAAAGCATCTGGCAGCATTTGATCCCGGCCTGCTGTGCTGACCCCGCCCCCGCCCTGGGGCATGCTGAGACAGCCATTGAGAGACTGGGTGTGGTGGCAAGTGCACCTGTAATCCCCGCTCTTGGGAGGCTTAACATAGGTGGATCACTAAGAGTGCTGGGACATAGCTCAGTAGAATAAGTGCTAGGGCCTGAGTTCAATCACCGGTTCCATCAAAAGAAAAAAAAAGGAGATCAGGAACCAGCTATCTTGTGGCCGGGAGATGGCTCAGT